ACTGGGTTTATTTTACACTTCCTCCCATATCTCTCCCTCCAGTATGTTGTTATGGCAGTGTGCAGATTTGGGACCAAGCCCTCGAGTACTTTCCAGGTATATATTACCATGTATCTCTCTCTCCTCCGCTCCAATGAGTACATGTTCAAAACTTGATTTGGATTTTTTTTACCAGAAGGTGATGGAGAAAGTGTCAGTGATGTCAGGTGAAGGAGAGAGTATCAGTGATGTCAGGTGAGGGAGAGTATGTCAGTGATGTCAGGTGAAGGAGAGAGTATCAGTGATGTCAGGTGAGGGAGAGTATGTCAGTGATGTCAGGTGATGGAGAGTGCGTCAGTGATGTCAGGTGATGGAGAGTATGTCAGTGATGTCAGGTGATGGATAGTGTGTTAGTGATGTCAGGTAATGGAGAGTGTGTCAGTGATGTCATATGATGAAGAAAGTGTCAATGATGTATGGTAAAGGAAAGGCTGTCAGTGATGTTAGGTGAGGGATGGTTTGTCATGATGTCAGGTGATGAAGAGTGTGTTAGTGATGTCAGTGATGGGAAAAGTGTCAATGATGTCAGGTGATGGAGAGTGTGTTAGTGATGTAAGGTGATGGGAAAAGTGTCAATGATGTCAGGTGATGGAGAGTGTGTTAGTGATGTCAGATGAATGGGAAAATGTCAATGATGTCAGGTGATGGAGAGTGTGTTAGTGATGTCAGGTGATGGGAAGTGTCAATGATGTCAGGTGATGGAGTGTTAGTGATGTCAGGTGATGGATGAAAAGTGTCAATGATGTCAGGTGATGGAGTGTGTGTTAGTGATGTCAGGTGATGGGAAAAGTGTCAATGATGTCAGGTGATGGAGAGTGTGTTAGTGATGTCAGATGATGGGAAAAATGTCAATGATGTCAGGTGATGGAGAGTGTGTTAGTGATGTCAGGTGATGGGAAGTGTCAATGATGTCAGGTGATGGAGAGTGTGTTAGTGATGTCAGGTGATGGAGAGTGTGTCAGTGATGTCAGGTGATGGAGTGTGTGTTAGTGATGTCAGGTGATGGAGAGTGTGTTAGTGATGTCAGATGATGGAGAGTGTGTTAATGATGTCAGGTGATGGAGAGTTAGTGATGTCAGGTGATGGAGTGTTAGTGATATCAGGTGATGGAGAGTGTGTTAGTGATGTCAGGTGATGTAGAGTGTGTTAGTGATGTCAGGTGATGGAGAGTGGTGTCACTGATGTCAGGTGATGGAGAGTGTGTCACTGATGTCAGGTGATGGAGAGTGTGTTAGTGATGTCAGGTGATGGAGTGTGTGTTAGTGATGTCAGGTGATGGAGAGTGTGTTAGTGATGTCAGGTGATGGAGAGTGTGTTAGTGATGTCAGGTGATGGAGAGTGTGTCAGTGATGTCAGGTGATGGAGAGTGTCAGTGATGTCAGGTGGTGGAGAGTGTGTTAGTGATGTCAGGTGATGGAGAATGTGTTAGATGTCAGGTGATGGAGAGTAGTGTTAGTGATGTCAGGTGATGGAGACTGTCAGTGATGTCAGGTGATGGAGAGTGTGTTTAGTGATGTCAGGTGATGAAGAGTGTGTTAGTGATGTCAGGTGATGGAAAGTGTGTTAATGATGTCAGGTGATGGAGAGTGTCAGTGATGTCAGGTGATGGAGAGTGTATTAGTGATGTCAGGTGATGGAGAGTGTGTTAGTGATGTCAGGTGATGGAGAGTGTCAGACCATAAGGTCAATATTTCCTTACCGTTCAGTGTTAGTTACCAGTTGTCAAAGGCACTTTACGATAGATACTTGGCCACTGTGTGTGTGTGTGTGTGTGTGTGTGTGTGTGTGTGTTGCTTCACTCGAGCCAGTTGCCACACTGAAGTCGTCCTGGTTGTCTTTTTAACCTCTGAAACACAACAGCTCTTTTGATATTCCCAGAACTTGATAATTCTCTCATTCTTACTACCTCAGACGTTGCTACCCAACACTGGTGTGTGGGTGACACCTTCCCATCACTGGTGTGTGGGTGACACCTTCCCATCACTGGTGTGTGGGTGACACCTTCCCATCACTGGTGTGTGGGTGACACCTTCCCATCACTGATGTGGGTGACACCTTCCCATTACTGATGTGGGTGGCACCTTCCCATCACTGGTGTGTGGTTGACACCTTCCCATCACTGGTGTGGGTGGCACCTTCCCATCACTGGTGTGTGGGTGGCACCTTCCCATCACTGATGTGGGTGGCACCTTCCCATCACTGGTGTGTGGGTGGCACCTTCCCATCACTGGTGTGGGTGGCACCTTCCCATCACTGGTGTGTGGGTGGCACTTTCCCATTACTGGTGTGGGTGGCACCTTCCCATCACTGGTGTGTGGGTGGCACCTTCCCATCACTGGTGTGTGGGTGGCATCTTCCCATCACTGGTGTGTGGGTGGCACTTTCCCATCACTGGATGTGTATGTGGCACCTTCCCATCACTGGTGGTGGGTGGCACCTTCCCATCACTGGTGTGTGGGTGGCACCTTCCCATCACTGGTGTGTGGGCGGCACCTTCCCATCACTGGTGTGTGGGTGGCACCTTCCCATCACTGGTGTGTGTGAATGGCACCTTCCCATCACTGGTGTGGGTGGCACTTCCCATCACTGGTGTGTGGGTGGCACTTTCCCATTACTGGTGTGGGTGGCACCTTCCCATCACTGGTGTGTGGGTGGCACCTTCCCATCACTTGGTGTGTGGGTGGCACCTTCCATCATGGTGTGTGGGTGGCACCTTCCCATCACTGGTGTGTGGGTGGCACCTTCCCATCACTGGTGTGTATGTGGCACTTTCCCATCACTGGTGTGTATGTGGCACCTTCCCATCACTGGTGTGTGGGTGGAACCTTCCCATCACTGGTGTGTGGGCGGCACCTTCCCATCACTGGTGTGTGGGCGGCACCTTCCCATCACTGGTGTGTGGGTGGCATCTTCCCATTACTGGTGTGTGGGTGGCACCTTCCCATCACTGGTATGGGTGGCACCTTCCCATCACTGGGGTGGGTGGCACCTTCCCATCACTGGGGTGAGTGGCACCTTCCCATCACTGGTGTGGGTGGCACCTGCCCATCACTGAGGTGGGTGGCACCTTGCCAATCATTGTGAATATTTCTAAACACATTTACATTTCTAGGAATCAGTTTGAATTATACGAGGCTGCGAGGGTGGAGACTTATAATGCCCTCGAGGGTGACTTAGGAGGAACTCTTCGTGTAATTAACATACACCCACACACACCACGCCCCACACAGTGAAGAGGCGGGGCCAGGAGCTGTGAATCGACCCCTGCAACCACAACTAGGTGAGTACAACTAGGTTAACACACACACACACACAAGGGAGGGGACACAGAAACAAGGGGTCACAGTTGGAAGTTGAAGACTCAGATGAGTCAAAGGGATGTTAGGAAGTATTGCTTCAGTCATAGAGTTGTCAGGCAGTGGAACAGCCTAGAAAGCGGCGTAGTGTAGGCTGGAACCATACATAGTTTTAAGACGAGGTTTGATAAAGCTCATGGAGCAGGGAGAGACGACCCAGTAGCAACCAGTGAAGAGGCGGGGCCAGGAGCTAGGACTCGACCCCTGCAACCCACAAATAGGTGAGTACAAATAGGTGAGTACAAACACACACACTCACAAAGCGAGAAATGAAATTAGTAGATGCCTGAGAAGAGGACCAGCAGCTGAGAGTCGACCCCTTGCAGCCACATACATGTTAGTACACACTGTATTGTACAGAGAGGAGGATAAAAGTCTAGCCTATCGAAGAGGCAAATATTATAGAGCAGTAATCTTAAAATTGTGTTAAAAACACAATATTACGCAAAATATATACCAGACATGTTGAAAACCCATGTTTAAATGTCAGGAAAAAAAAACATTGGTGGCAAAACCAAAGGACAGGCAGAAGTAAACACAACTCGTAATTAAAATAAGCCATATATGACTCTGTAATTAAGAACACGAGAGCAAGAAACATCTGTAGAACAACAAAGGTTGGAGTAATACTTTATAGTAAAGAGAAGCAGAAAAAACACTACAATAATGACCAAGTGAATTAGGGTTAAAGGCAACACAAACAATCAATAACCACATTAAAAGGAATGCAGAGCAGTCATCAGGTAATCAGACTGATACGCG